CTTTCCTCACACTCCACCTTAATATCTCACTTCCGTCACTTCTCTCACCGTCTTCCTTCACCAACCTCCTTTCTCCTCGCAATCTTTATCCCCTCATCCAGCAGATTTTACTATCTGCATGGGTTCTTATTTGAATAATAGTGAATTATTACGCGATAATTCGCTAAATCTTTTAATAACTCATAAATCAACAGACAAAATTTTATAAAAGTGATATGACAAGTTTTTTGTCTATTCCGCATATACTGCATATTCTGCTATAAGTACACGATGGCAGGCACCGTTATCAGAGCTCACCTACTATATCACGCGTGATCGTTTGCCAACTTTCTTAAATTAGTAATTTAAAATTTAACAAAATTCTTTGCAACATGCAAAGTTTGTGTTCAGTTTTATTGAATCCACATGTACATGATGCATTAAACACTTGTTTTTCTTTATCTATATTCATCTTTGTCGTTTCAGATTTTACGATAGAGCAAGTGGAAAGAGAGATATAAAGAAGCCGCAAAAGCTTGTATCTACTGAATCTGAAAATGATGATGAAAAAATCAAGAAGATTAAGAATAAATCAACTATACAAACATCGATTAAAAAAAATTAAAAAATATGAATTTACACATGGCTTCCTCATGGAGGAAGCTTTATGAGCGACATCTAATTTTTTTAGATGTTTCTTGAAAGTGTGCAAATTAGAAATTTGCACATTGTTTCTTCATGATTAAGGCGAGTTAATTTGGAAATTTGCTCATTTCTTCATTATCATTAAAGTAGGCAAATTAGAAATTTGAAGATTACATCCATTGTTATGGCTTCCTCATAGAGGAAGCTTTAAGAGAGAGATCTAATTTTAGTACTGTTTCTTGAAAGTATTCAAATTAGAAATTTGCATATTCTTATTTCACTCTTAAAGCTTCCTCTATGAAAAAGCCATCTCCAAATTTCTATTATGCACACTTTACTTTAATTTACCTTTTTCCTAATTAAAAATTTTCAAATTGCTCCCATTGTTATGGCTTCCTCATAGAGTAAGCTTTAAGAGTGAAATAAGAATATGCAAATTTCTAATTTGAATACTTTCAAGAAACATAGTACTAATTAGATCTCTCTCTTAAAGCTTCCTCTATGAGGAAGCCATAACAATGGATGTAATCTTCAAATTTCTAATTTGCCTACTTTAATGATAATGAAGAAATGAGCAAATTTCCAAATTAACTCGCCTTAATCATGAAGAAGCAATGTGCAAATTTCTAATTTGCACACTTTCAAGTAACATCTAAAAAATTAGATGTCGCTCATAAAGCTTCCTCCATGAGGAAGCCATGTGCAAATTTATAATTTGCACACTTTACTTTACTTTACTTTTTTATAATTATATATTATATTGTTATTCAGTTTTTTCTAACAAAATTTCATATATAATTCTTTAAAATATAATTAATTATTTCCTGAGTTATAGAAATTTTAAATTTTTCGAAATCTTTATTAAACATAATTTGCGATAGTTACAGCAACCACATACATTTCTCAAAAACAATTCAAAAGCACACATAACTCCGAAAGTACTTTACGAAAATATACTATATTATATTGTTTTGGAAAGCTCTTGAGGTAAGCTATAAGAATATGCAAAAAAAAGGTTTCCACCCAGTCCACCCAAATTAACGTATAAAAAGGTCTACCCACAAACCTTTAAATCATGATAACTATGTGTTCCTTTTAAAGGACACCAAAACCTGGGAGAAAGTAATTTGCAAAAATTTAAATTCCATTTCCTCTAATTTCTATTAACTTTATCAAATAATAAATATTTATTATTCTCTAATTTTTTAGATAACCATATTGATCTTTGTTTTACATTATCATGTTCGACGCATTCTTTTTTTTTAATAATTAAAGTGTCTTTTTTTAATTCTTGTACGGTCATCATTATTGCAATATTAGAATGATTTTTTTGCTATTTCAATTGATGTAGGTTTGCAGATTTTTTGTCTTTGAAATGGTATACACAATATTTTTGTTTTTCTCTCTTCTTTACATGTTCTATTCAGTATGAGTTTGCTATATTATCATAAAAAATATGCATTCTTACTTTAACCCTTATTCTTCTGGGAAAGGCATTAATATTTTGTGATTAATTATTTCTAGACAGTGCCTTCGCATTTTTACCATATCTATCGAATATCTTTTATTAGAAGGATTTTCTCCTAATGCAATTGTTACTGCAAATGCTGCTGCAAATATCCCACGAGAATTTAGGTCTGGCTGTTTTGTAACTTTTTCATATATTATTTCTGTTTTGATTAAATTTGGATATCTTATTTTAATATACTCCTGTTCCAACAAAGTAAGTCATACGAGTTTATGTCAAAATACAAACTATCATATATATGAAGTTTTAAACTGTCATAAAAAATACAGTGCCAGTGATTATTGCATTCACTCCCTCCAACAATCTGAACATCCCTGCCAAAAATCGGTTCGATCCAATGTAAAGCCATAATAAAAAGTACATCTACTCGATTAAATGTAGTGTTATTCTCAATTATCTTCATTATTTCATTTAAAGGTCTATCATCTAACCATGAATCTTCTTGTAATACATTTTCCTCTAAAGTTTGTGGCGGTGAATTAATCCCCTGATTTGCGATATTTATTGTACTTTTTACACAATATGACTTAACAACATTTTTGTTATAGATTTTTGTTTTTTTAAAATAGGTATTACACTTTTTGGGGTATTTTTATTCAATACTTTTACATCGTTGTATTCAATTTCGTTATCTAATCTCACATCTTCTTTCTTGTCTAACTCAAATGTCATGTTAGTATTTACAGAACTTACGTTAATCGATTGGTCTATGAATTTACTTTTGTCTTTTTCTGATAAATTTTTTTTTAGAACTTTTGATAAATCTTTAACTTTGATAATGCTAGCATGTTCTCATCGAATAATCCAATGTAAATTGGTTTATGATCTGAAAAATATGTTTCGTACACTCCAGCAGTATAATCCAATATTCCTTCCGATATGAATATTACATCTATCTGCGTGTTGAAGTTTGTAGTTAATATTTTTGTGTTAAGTGCACGTTTTAATTGTATTTTATTTAAATATCTTTCTAAAAAGCCTCCCTTATTATATGAGTCATAATTAAAATCGCCTATTATAATTCTTTCATTACCTATTGACTTGCTTAAAATATTACTCAATTCGTGTATAAACATAGTTCTAGTTACTGTCGGAGACTTATAACCGGTAATAATTTCAACCTCATTTATGATTATGCGAAACAAGTCAATATGCCGATGTTGCCCATTTATAATCTCATCTTTTTGGATATGTTTCTCAATTAATCCATTCATCTCTTTTTTGATAAATTCCTTTCGGTAAACGTTTAACATTATCATCTGTTCTGCAAAGAATATTAAATCCTTCTAACATTAAATTATCAGTTGCAATTGTTTGTGATTTTGAAAAAATTAATAAATCTGCTTGTTTATACCATTTATCACTCGATATATTGATAAAATTTTTATTTAATGATCTTACGTTCTGGTATATTATTTTTATACGATTTCCCTTTATAACTTTTGAATATGACAATTTAAGTAATTTTTTTCTTTTAGACGTTTAATTTCTAATTCTAAATTATTATTTGTTGATGGTTTCTTTGGAGCTCTAAAACTACCAAGAATGTATAATTCTGATAATTTTTTTACTCTACTCAATGCTACGTAAAGCATTGGCCTTGTCATACGATAACTTTCTCTTAAATCAATACACATTTTTTCGTATGTTTGTCCTTGACTTTTGTGAATTGTTATAGCCTCGGCTGGCGTGATAGGAAATTGTTGTCTCACGATTTGATACCCCATTCTTTCATTAATGTTCAATACAATAGAGACTTGTGAGAGCGGAACCAAACACATCTCAAAATTATTTTCAGTCATATACCTTATGTATGATCTCCTTTGTCCAACACCAATCCTATCATTATTGAAATCTAACCATATTTTCATTGGTTCATCTGTACCTGGTTTTAAAGTTATTTTCTGCAATTTCCCACAAGCTCCGTTAACTAAACCATCTTCTACATCTATATTAGAAGTTATCATGTAATTGATACCAATTTTTAACGTAATTTTGTAATCCAAGCCTCCACATTCTGTTCTTTTTTATTTTTTAATGATGTAAGTAACTTATTTCTCAACTTACTACTTATTTTTCCTAAAATTGAATCTTTGGCTATAGAATCATAGGCTACACCATCTATTGAATTAATTTTTATTTTGTTAAAACTATCAACCAAGCGATTTTCACCATATAATCTAATTGCATCTTTTGGAACATATTCCTCTGTAGTTTCTCTGGATTTAATAAGAGCAATATCATTGTCAGTCATTGTGCCTCTTGCAAGGTTATTAAGAGCCTCGATAAATGTTTTATCCTCTTTTTGTCTCATTATTTCTGTCAACTCAAAAAAATCAAATTCATTCCATAAAATGTTCTCTGAAAAAATGCTTAACATGCTAGATTTTGAGGAAAGGTATATCGAATTATCCATAACTGGTGGTAATTGATAAAGATCACCGACTACTATAACAGACACTCCCCCAAAGCTTCTATTATTACCCATTATTTGTCTTAATCTTGTATCGACTCGACTAAACATTGTACTACCTACCATTGATATTTCATCAATAATTATTAATTTTAATTCGAATAAGTTCTCTCGAATTGTATTTGCTACATCTGCTGATAATTCTGGCATTTGTCCTCCGTATTGTGTTATTGGTAATGCAAAAGCAGTGTGCAGTGTAGTACCACCTATTAGAAATGACGCTTTTCCAGAGGGTGCACATAATAATATTTTTAACGAATTTTTCTTTTCACCGGGTGTATCGTCGAAGAAATTCAATAACACCTGATAAATCGCTTTTAAAACTGTACTTTTTCCAACACCTGCTGAGCCGCTGATGTACAATCTAATAGGTAAACTCCCATTTTTAAAACAATGCAAAACATGCATTGTAATTTCCCTTTGCTCATCATTTAATTTACAAAGTATGCTCATCATTTCTTCTTTGCTTTTTTGGGGTGGACTGTTTATACTCCTTTTAATGTTTTTTGAGCATTTCGCTAAACCTGTTTGACTAAATATGTCTATTTCTTCATCTTTTCGTATTTTTGTTTTCCCGAAAGATTCAATCTCCTCATCCTCTATAGTCTGTTGATCTATATCTTTTTGTGCTTGAACCAAGGCATTGTCAAGTTCTACGTCACCTATTACTGAGAATTTATTTCTATTTTCTTCAATTACATGAATATTTTTACTATAAATGTTTTCACAATCTTGTGTATCTACATCATCTCTTTCATTTTTCCATGGCCAAAATAGCAAAACTTGTTCTCTGAAATAATTATATCTATCCTGGTTTAATTTATATCTTCGAAATCGAATAACTTTCTGCTTTTTCCTTTCTTTAATCTCAATCTCTTCATCATATTCGTCATCGCTATCAGTGCTATATGTAATCTTTTTCTCATCATAATTTGCTGCAAATTCAGCCAGACAAACACTTGAAAATTTTTTATAATTTCGATTTTCATACTTTTCGATTATATTTTTATAATATATATCTGTTGATTCTACATTCAGTTTTTTTAAATGTTTACTATTTTTCAACATTCGAACGCGCTCTTTTTGCGGAGCAGTGTTAATGTAAACAACAGCTCTACTGCACAATGAAAGTGGTAGACCAAGGACGTGGTATACTGCTTCCTGTGCAGACATAGTATTACTACGAGGGACGTCCAGAAAGTAAGGTTACAACAGGTGTGAAAAAAAAACAATGCATTATATTGTAATGAAATTTACAGGATATGTTTGAGAAAACATGTCTTTATTTTTCCACATAATCGCCGTCGAGGTCAACACATTTCTGAAGCCTGGGCACAAGCTTTTTGATGCCCTCGTCGGAGACGTTCCGCTCCACCTTTCGAAGCCACGTTTCCACTGCCTCTGTCACCTCCTTGTTACTTGAAAATTGCTGCCCACCCAAAAACTCCTTCAATTTAGTGAACAGATGATAATCCGAGGGCGCTAGATCCGGGGAGTAGGGGGGTGATTGACAACATCCCATCCAAACGACACACGAGCAGATTCAGATCAGATTCAGATCAGAATCTGCTCGTGTGTCGTTTGGATGGGATGTTGTCAATCACCCCCCTACTCCCCGGATCTAGCGCCCTCAAATTATCATCTGTTCACTAAATTGAAGGAGTTTTTGGGTGGGCAGCAATTTTCAAGTGACAAGGAGGTGACAGAGGCAGTGGAAACGTGGCTTCGAAAGGTGGAGCGGAACGTCTTCGACGAGGGCATCAAAAAGCTTGTGCCCAGGCTTCAGAAATGTGTTGACCTCGACGGCGATTATGTGGAAAAATAAAGACATGTTTTCTCAAACATATCCTGTAAATTTCATTACAATATAATGCATTGTTTTTTTTTCACACCTGTTGTAACCTTACTTTCTGGACGTCCCTCGTATTAATAAAAACATTAGCAATTTTTCTAAACTTTTCCCTAATATTCACATTACCATTTTTCAAATCCTTTGCTGCCTCTCTTAATAAACGTGATAGACCTGCATCGATTTTTGTAACATAATTAATCATATATGAGGCACAACTGTATGGATCTAAAACAAATTGAATATCCATATTTGATTCAAGTAAAGTCAATATAGTTTTATTATATGCATTTATTGCAACCTCATTATTTTTTCGTTTCAAAAATATCTTAGTTCTTGATAATGTGCTTCTAATTGTTTGAATATATTCCTTTTCTGCCATTTCTAATCGGTCTAACATTTCTTCAAAAGAAACTACTATATTTTTAAAAAAAAAATTGCATCATGTCTGTTACTTTTTTCTATTGGTTTTGTCATTTTTTGTTTTTTTATTTTCCTCTAATGGTTTAAGTATCATCGTTTCTCTCAGCACAAACATTGGAATATTAAACCTACAAATTGATTTATTTTTCCTTCCTTTGTAACATGTTGGCTTATGTCGATGTTTTTGAAAATTTATTAATGGATTCCTATCATCGAATTCACATGTTATAATTTTATCTATCCACTCTATTATCTTTTTATTCCCGTCCTCATTTTCCTCATCGTAAATAGGAGCTTTATTACAGTATACTAGACTGTGTGTGTGAACCGTACCTCTTGCCTGAAATTCTCGCCTTTGAAAATAATCAGTCACATAGTTTATTCCAAATGGACCATTTACATTCTGTAAAATTGACATTATTTGTTTGAACCTTTCCTCTAGATATCTGACACAAGTAACAGGATCCTGTCTTATCAACTTTGTTTTCTCTGCAATGTCCAAATGTATTGCCTGATATGTACTAATATTTTTATTTCTAGAGATTCTGTATAAAATTTTTATTAAGTCTATGTTTTTTGCTTCACACGCAGAAAGCGTGATAAACAACGTCGGTACTCCACATTGTCTAATCATACTTAACAAGTGCTTTTTCTTATTTTCCCAATATGAGGGTGATGATCGAACTTGTTTCAAAAATTTGTATCCATCGTCATGACGAATTGAATCGCTTATGAATTGTGTATCTCTAATTTTCTCCAAAGTTAGATTTTCATTTCTCTTAACTCTCCTCAAACAAATATTTATATTCGATAACACTGTTTTTTCTAATTTTTGTTTTGCCATAAATAAGATCCTTGTAGGTTGACACGATCTTCTATCTCTGTGTCTGACCTCAAATTTGATCCTTTGCGAATATGTCAATTTATTTTTTTTATCTAAAATTTCTCCACCAAAAATTTTTGGAAAGCACAATTCATCGATATTTTCTATTAAGTGCTAGGGAACTGGATTTTTGTCTTGTCCCGGGGCAATTATTTTAATATTTGTAGATATCTGTTCATTCCTATCTACAATAAGAACCTCGTCATCTTGTTCATAAGAAACCGATTCTTCGGATTCAGAATTATTCTCGAATTCTTCGAAATTAGAGGGAATTTTTTTTATATTATGAAAACTTTCGTTCTTGTCATTAATATCGACAATAAATTTCAATTCCTCAGTTGAATTTCGATTATATTTTTTTAAAAATTCATCGTCAATCTTTATATTGTTTTTTATATACAAAGGTGTATATTTTAAATACTCTAAAGCCTCACTAATTTTTGCAGGTTTTATGGTTTCATACATATAATCTGACTTGTGTTCCATATGCCTTTTCAGCTTTATTTGAATAGTTGACATTTCATCAAAGGTTCTAGGTAAAACATTTACCATTTCGTTACTTTCAACCGGAATATTAACTATACTTCCTTTCAATGATAACTGAGGATTAATAGCAAATGGTTGCAATGCCTTTATTTACATGAATGGAATATACGGCGAGACCATTCGTTCTTCAACTGGAGTTAATTCTGTTACAACTTTAGGCAGATTAGAAAACCTTAAATCTTCATTAGATACTGTTTTTGGAAATACTCCTAATAAGATATATTTCTTACATGTTTTGCATAAATATTTCGAGTAATTATTTACAATTTTTTTCGTAAATTGATTTATATCAATTTTTATTTTTTTAAATTTATTTCGTAAATTTTCAATATTGAACAATTCTACTGATTTTTGGAAAAACAAATTGTCACAACAAAAACATAATATGTCAGGTCCATATTGTCTATTTTTTTAAAAATTGATTATTAATAAATTTTGATAATATTCATTATCTTCAGCGCCGATATTAATTTTTTTATAAATTGAGTTAATGTAATTTTCTCGAAAATTATAAAAATCGTCAAGTCTTAATAATCTTTTATGTTTCTTGAAGTAATTTCTTTCATTAGCGATATACAAAGAATCCTTTCGCATTTCCTTAATTCTTTTTGAATTTTTTTTATTTTCTTGGATCCTATAATTTCTATCATTAACGATATAAAACGAATCCTTTCGCATTTCCCTAATTCTTTTGGTATTTTTTTCATATTCTTGGTTCCTATAATATGGATCTTTCCGTTTTTCCAAAATTCTTTCTAAATTCATTTTCTTTTCACAATTTTTATATATGTATAGAATTTTTTCGTAAAATTCTAATTTTTTCTAAATTCTTTACATTTTCTCTTTTTTTATAAATAATATCCTGACGTAAATTTTTTATTCTTTCTAAATTATTTTCATTTTCTCGTTTATTAAATAAAGGATCTAAACGAATTTTCTTTAATCTTTGTAAATTTTTTTCTTTTTCTTGATTAGTGTACAATAAATCGTGTCGTAGTTCTGAAATTCTTTGTTGATTCTTTGAATTTTCCTTTTCTTTATAAATAGGATCTTGACGAAGATCTCTTATTCTTTCTAAATTTTTGGCATATTCATGTTTTTTATACAACGGATTTAATCTTTCTTTCCTTTTTCTTAGTAAATTAAGTAATTTTTGCTTCCTCATAGAGGAAGCTTTGTTTCGATGCGAAAAATTTTTTTCCAGTTTTCATTGCCAATGGGTTTAGAATGTTTTAAAAACTCAAAAAAACACATTTTTAAAAAAAAAGTCTGTGCACC